CGTGTGCTCTTCCGATCTTTTGCTATTTTAACAAAATTTTAGAATAAAACTTGACTTTTGTGAATAATTCTCTGTTTTTGTTAAATTGTAGTATATCTTTTCTCTCAGTGCAAGATTGGTTGCAAATTCCTACAATGCTCATTTCTTTCATTTCTCGACGGTAATTTCGAGATAATTGATATTTGCTTGACTTTTTGATAATTTCTAATGAATAGAGGTAGTCTATCAAATGTTAACTGCATTTTATTAACAATTATTGTGTATAAATAACGCAATTAAGTAATTGTAGTTTTCTTCCAGAAAGCCATTTGAGCAGATAGAATTCGTGAGTAAACGGCCTCGGTACGAAATATCCTGACTACCCTCACGTGCCCAAGGGCAGTCAGCTCGAGTATGATTCATCCACCCGATTTGTTATTTTCGCATTAACCAACTTCCTCTCTTCACCCTCGTGGGGATTCCTTTTTGACTCGCGTGGATACGACGAATGCGGTCGATGGATGGAATGCCATTATCCAGCTGTTGGCGCGTTAATGTCTTGTTTATGGGAAGGAGCCCAGTCATTGGCGCGCATCTATCAATTTACTTCCAACAGAAACATAATGCAACGGCACACTCTTGACTTTCGCTGCATCTAATACGTATCATGCCTTGATAGCGTCGTATTACTTGGAGATTTATCATTTCCAATCTTTTCTCTCAGCGGGATCTTCGCACAAGTCCGCTCGTTATTAACTCGATATCATAATTGCAATATTCCATAAGCGAAATTAAATTACAGTTGATGCAGAAAAAGTTCCTAAGTCACATAGCGCTCCTTGACAGCGAACGAATGCGCCATTAATGGATTCTCTACGTTCTTCATCAGCTGCGTAAACTTAATTAATCGTTATATTTCTGCCGTGCGCGGAAAAAGCGGCAGTCACGCCGTTATACTACCACTGCGTAATCGCTAATAGCATACCCGGAGGCAGCATCCAAGTCGTAGAATAAGAGGAATGAGATAACGTTTCCTCGTCTACCATGAAATTCAAAGAGAGTGAAACGCCATGCGCTCATTTAATATGCGTAATCTTATTTGCGATAAGTATCCCTCGCTCGAATAATTAGTCCAAAAGATAAGTATAATTGCGACTTCGTTTCCTTTTACTTCTGCAAGAACTCGCTTAATATTGCATATTCAGTATAACGCTTTCGAATTAACAATTAAATAGTCGTTTGGTATTTTCATTATCCCACGTTTGTACTGTCGATTCGCTATAATTTTTCAAGCGTTCTTCGACGATATGTCGTTCCCCAAAGGGAAAGAGAGAAAGCGTTTCGCAGCGCAGCTTCTTGCACTGTGCAATTTATCA